CATGAATATAAGAAAGCAAATTTATTTTTCTTAAGCTAAAAGGAGAAAACCAGGAAGCCAGAGTTTTGTTATAGTTATGTTTTTTTTTTTCATGTGGCCTAAAAGAAAGTAAATTCCATTTCTTATCAGTTTTTACTTTCCTTGACCAAGGGAAGCTAAGAGCAGAGAATGGAGTTTAGTGCCAAAAATCTGAAGGTTGAGTTCTTTTTGTTTGGGGGTTTTTCCTGTCCTATAGTATGAAGGAATTGCCTGGGGTAATATCTAAATTACTGTTATGTTTTGGGTTTCTAGACTTTTGTGCATTTTATTTATGGTTCAAAAGATTAAAGTGGAGGCTTCTGTCTACACTGCAATGCAATGGAAAAGTCCCAGGAAAAGACTTGAATTCGTTTCTGGCCAGCCAACAACCCTAAACTTAGTTGCAACTTTCTCAAATAAAGGACTAGAATCCACAGGAAGGAAGATGTGCCCTTCTCTGCCCTATCCTTTGCCCAGCGAGCCCAGCAGGCAGTTAACCCAGTACAGACACACCTCTTAGAAAGTCCTAGGACCTTGAAGGTGAGCTGAAGTTGACCTCTTGAAAATCTGGGCTTGCAAGGATGCCCTCCTGGGGCTGCCAGCCCGTGCGCCTATGCGATGCTCTCTCTGTGAAGGGCTTTCCTGTTACACCTGCGGGGCCAACTGTGCCAATGTGTGGGAGGAGGTGGACACGAGAGTGAGGCACCCTGTTCTGGGCTGTTCCGAGAGGTTCAGGCCTTCACAAACGCGGCTTTGATTCTATTTTTTGCTGAACTAGCTGGGCCATTTCCTGTGCCGCTTCACTGCGGGGCCACTTGAGCCCCCGGAGCGGGGGCTGCCTGCGCATACAGGCACCATGGCCACCAGGGAGGACTATTTTCAGCGCTCCCTTACAATGCCCTTCTCATTTCCAGGGCGAAAATGAGCAAGTTAGCCTTGCCTCGGTCACTTGTCAGCCTGATGACAACTTTGACTTTGACTTGGGTGCCCCTCCCCCCTCCCCAAATCCCTAGCTCAGCAAATATTTGAACCTGCCCAAGTTAATCATGAAGCCGCGATCTTTATCTGAGCGAGACGGGCTAGCGTCCGCCAGGGCTCCTTTCTTCCCTTGTGCAGTAGCGCACCCAGGGGGGCTCTGCTTGCGGAGCCGGGGACGTGCTGCCGGGGCGGGGCTCGGGGCGGAGGGACCGGCTACAGCCTAGCCTGGGGGAACCGGCTGCCGGGCGGAGAATCGCGCGCCCCCGCCTTGCGCGCTCTCCTCCTGCTAGGTTTGCGACTGCCGGTGCCGGGCGGGCGGGGGAGCCTCGGGGGCTGGGCCCACTTGGTAGAAGAACAGCTTCTTTGGATTTTTTTTTCTCGGTGGGATACTGGCAGTTCAAAGCGAAACCGCTGAAATGCATAACCTACAAAGTAAGTCGCTTTTCATTTATGCACTTCTCCGCACCGGGCTCTTTATCTGCAAGCCGTCCTCTCTAGTTTGGCTGGAGCGGGTGTGTATGAGTGTCTGTGTGTGCACTGGGAGTGTGTGCGCCTGGGTGAGTGTTGCCTGGGGAGAGCAGATGGGCGATTAAGGGAGACACTCCCTTCTGTCCTACGGGGGGGGGGGGGCACTGTGGAGGAAGAGATGGCATTTAGGTTTAGAGTTTAGAAAGTGGGGGTCAGGAAGTTGGGACCAAGCCAGAGCTTGCAGAACATGGAAAATCACCTGTCTCTGACCTGCCCCTTGGGTTCCCTTGCCACATGGCAGCAGCAATCTGCAGCTAGGCTTGCTGTGGGAGTACTGCACACTGGCCCTTTCGGGATGATCCATGGGTTATACTGCCAAGTATAGGAACTTGTCCCTTTACTTTTTGGGGAAGACTCAACATTTTTATTCAACTATTATTTTTTTCCATCTTTTCTAAGGACATACTTCACCATGACTTTTACCATTTTTATTTGAATTTTAGGATAGATATTTGAATTTTAGTTTAGATTTACTTCAACTTACAGGCAAATAGAGAAGTGTGAATTGGAAATAACAGGGTTGAGTCTGCTGCTGTCTCCAATAAGGCAGAAATGCCCTAGGGAGGGGACTCAAGTGGACAGCAGCCAGGGAAGAGAATGCCTTGCTCCACTTCTAATACTGTGTGATTCCAAATGTGGTAAAAATCTAAAGGGGCTTCTGTGTTCCATCAGCCTTCCCACGGGTGCATAGCACACACCCCCACAGAGCCCACTCTCATTTTTAAAATGAAGCCACATTCACATTGGAGCCGTACCCTCCACAATCATGTAAATGTCAAGAGATTCTGGTTCACAGTGCCAGTGTACATGAAGCTCCAGTTCCCGTGACAGAATCACATGCAGAATGATTTAAAGAACTAAACTAAATCATTAGATTTGTAGAGAAATTGATTTCTTTATATTGAACACTGCTAAGAAGGAGTATTGTCCCCGAGTAAGGCGCTGAGCTAAAGAGAGAAGAGGGGAGGGCAGAGAGAGAGAGAGAGAGAGAGAGAGAGAGAGAGATTACATCACCTTTTTTTAAAGCAGCTAGCAGTGAGACGGGTTCCTGAGTGAGCCACTTGGCAGAGAGCACCTGAACTCTGCCTTCTGATATATGGCCTCTTATTTTGGCAGAAGCATCTCATTGTCCAGTCTTGTTAGGTAGAAACATTGAAATTTACCAGTGTTGACCATTATGCTATCATTTCTGCAAATAATAAGCGCCTTCATTCCTGCGCTGAGTTTGCATGATTTATTCTGTAAAGCCTTGTTTTGACCTTGGGATATTCTGGTAGAGGCATTTTGTTTGAGTACTGTCTTTTAGCTTTCCCCTTTTCATGTGGTACATTTATGGCCATGCTTAAGAATTGTGGAAGACTGTCTTAAATATTCAGAGCGCCTGATCCTTCCTGCCTCTCACATATAGAAGCGATATCTAAGGTCTGTAAAATAGAGCTTAAGGGCCGTAGTCTGCTGCCTCTGTAAGATTTTTATACCACGGACTCGCCAGGCTATCTCTAAGCCCAGATGCACTGAGGGACGGAGCTAGAAGCTGCCGGTGTATCAGCCGTTGTCAATCCGCCAACAGCGGAATGTACCATGCTGCAGGGAGTAATAAAAGGGAATTAGAGAACTCACTGCTGGAAGAGAGCAGGCAAATTAAACACCTTTCGAAACGAGGAGCGTGCAGACACTGCAGCTGTGTGGCATGGAGGCTCTCGGAGAGAGGCTGGGGCCGTGTGAAGCTGGCATCCAGGAGAAGCGATGAAGCAGGAGTGGTCTGGTGACATTTTTCTGACTTGATTGGCTGGGGCGTGTGATGTAATAGGTTACAGTGCAGCCCCGTATAGGTTTTAAAATGAATTCCAAGGCAGCATTACAAAGAAAGCCGGACTCTTTTCTTATAACTGGGCACAGCCGAGGAAACTCTCGCACAAATGTACACCACGGTTTGGACTATGGAAGACCTGGACTTAGAGTGTGCCAAGACAGATATAAACTGTGGCACGGACTTGATGTTTTATATAGAAATGGATCCACCAGGTAATACTGCAGTATTAATGGAGAAGCTAGTTAATTTTCTGACTTTAATTTTTTTTGGAAAGCTGCTGTTAACAGATTCTCTCGAGGTTGCTATTTTTACTAATTTGTTTCACGGTTTAAAATTAGTCTGATTAGAACTTTAAAATTAAACAGACTGTTTGACTGTAGCAGCACGCTCAGGCTGTATTTGATACAAGCTGGTTCTTGCTGAATGGCTGGGAACTGGATTCCACTTTTTCCGCTCCTGGCGTCCTTTGTTAATTATGATCCTTGGCAAGTTGGGCTATATTGTTGTGTGTTGTTCCTTTAATTAAGGGGACGTGTCCTTTGTGCTGTTTTCTCTGCTGGCTGTGGACTCTGGCAGCGTGGTACTTTGCTGTGATAATGCCGGGTGCTTGAGAAAGCTCGTGAGAGGTAGCAGTGACTCAAACTCAGGTCTGCTGACCTGAAGCGCTTGTGAATCAGATGTTGGAGACTAGCTTGCTCTCGTGCTGAGAGACTACCATGGCAAAAGACGTGGGCTTTCCTCGCCGTTGTAAAAGACTCTTGCTAGACACCTGAAATCTTCTGGGGGCATAAATTGAAAGAGTCACAGTGCTTTCAAAGTTAGTGGTATCAGATTTTTAGGTAAAAATCCTAGGCTCTTTTGGTTGGCCCCTCTGGGGTCAGCCCTCCCTGCAATGAGGAAACTCAGCAATGCCGAGGGCGTCTTGTCACCTTTCTGTCTGGACGTGCACACTGATTTGACATTGAAGAGGATAGGGGTTCTAACCTAACGTGTGGAGCACAGTGTCCCCCCAGCAGAATGGTGACTGAAGACTCAGGAGATGTAGGTCAGACAGGAGGTTCCTGAAGGGGTTTTGGCAGAGCCATGCCCAACAAACTAACATAGAACTAACATAGAGAAACCCAGTTCTTAAAACACCCTGCCGTAAAATGAGGGCTTTAAAAAAAAAAAATGTGATTACCGCGCTCCTACAGGACAGAGCAACCAAATTTGTCTTTCATAATTAAGGAAGCGAAGAAAGGAAAGCCAACTCCTGTTATTTCTGCTGCTCAGATGTTCCTAGTTACTTTCTTTAGATGGAGCTGCCTGGGCACACAACTTTAATACAGCTAAAACCTAGAGGTAGAAATGTCGACTCTTGGTTAGCATTGACATTTTCTCCCACAGCCAGTCCTATTTATTTCTTAACCTCTAGGTCTGTCTGTCTGTCTGTCTGTCTGTGTCGTCCTCCCCCCACCCTTCTGCACTACTTTTTTTTTCCTTTTTAGTTTTTGTTTTTAACCATATTCTGAGATTTCTTTTGAAAACAAATGCCTACTGTGATCCATAGAATTGTGAATTTCTGGTGTCCTCTCCCCCTCCCCCCTTCCACTGTAAATGTCTTAGTAAATTCAACTGCCTTTTAACTGAAAATAGAATTTTTGTGCATTTTTAATTAAAATAAAATTAAACCACTTCCTCCTTACTCTTCGCTGCTGCAATGAAATGTTGTTCAGCTGAAAAGATGGGATCCTAATTTGAAAGGTGCACTTGGAGACAGGATTGCAAACAACTTTCTTTTCCTCCTTTGCCTGCAGCACTGCCCCCGAAGCCACCCAAGCCCACTACGGTAGCCAACAACGGCATGAACAGCATGTCCCTACAGGATGCTGAGTGGTACTGGGGAGACATCTCAAGGTAAGGCCATGGGGCTCTGCCTTGCCACCAGATGCAGGGAGGCTTTCAGTAGAACAGAGAGCGCCAGCTTGCTGAGTTCCATTTTTAGGATGTCATCCAACATACGCATGAAGCATAGTTGGTTCTCTTCCAAAGACGACCAGAAAAGTCACCGAGCACCGGAGCAGTGTGGGTGCTGGATGACACAGGAAATTAAATACCCAGGAAGCCTCCCTGTGGACCGAGATGTCAGGGAAGCTCCCAGGGTGACAGAGCACTGCCCGCTTTCTCTCGAGTGAGCAGGACTTTAGGAATCCAGGTTATTGCTTCCCTCATAAACCCTTGGAGCTTTTGGAGTGGTTAGTGAGTGGGCTGGGAGAGCCTCTTTGTGGGCTGACTTTCTCTGCCGATTTATCAGGAACTGTTTTCAAAGGGGGGAAAACAATCCTTGTGTTATAGAGATGCCAATAGTATAAGTGGGTGTATGTATGCATAAGTGTAGGTGTCATGCACTTATTTTTAGTAGGATGAATATATGACACTTCTTTATAAGCAAAGAAAAATTGTTAATTAGTTTTATGTGCGATAGTGACACGTGACCCCACAAGGACAGGAGGATGTAAGAGGTGGGACCTCTGGATTTTGTGCTCAGTATCTGTGAAGGCTAAGGGTATGGCCCAGTGGTACAGCAATCCTGAGTGCAGGAGGGGAAATGGGGTGTGTGTCTGTCTGTCTGTCTGTCTATCTGTAAGTGTGTGGTCTTTCAAAGTTGAAAAGTAAGCATGGTCCTTCGTTGTGTTCATTCCAGGGAAGAAGTGAATGAAAAGCTCCGTGATACAGCGGATGGGACCTTCTTGGTACGAGACGCGTCTACTAAGATGCACGGCGATTATACTCTTACACTAAGGTGAGCCAGGGAGGCAGCTGCAGTGGGGATGTCTGGGATGTCATGAAAGCATCTCTTCATTAGAGTTCTTTCTCCTTAAACCTGCACATAAAGTAATGGGTTTCATTATAGAGTTTCGAAACATGCTTGTTCTTCCCTCTCCCCGACTTCCTTCTCCTGTCTCCCTCTTCTAAGAGCCCTCCCACTACATCAGAAAACTTTAATAGTCATTAGTTTTCTATTGTATTTACAGGAAAGGAGGAAATAACAAATTAATCAAAATCTTTCACCGAGATGGAAAATATGGCTTCTCTGATCCATTAACCTTCAACTCTGTGGTTGAACTAATAACCCACTACCGGAATGAGTCTCTCGCTCAGTATAACCCCAAGCTGGATGTGAAGTTACTCTACCCGGTGTCCAAATACCAGCAGGTAATTTGATCAGCATTCCTCCCACCGCAGGAGCACAGGGCCAAGCCACTCTCCAGCGTGGAAAATAATTTGAAATTGGCTTTTGACAAACTTTTCACCATGACTGGAATTTCACAATGGCTGAATCAGATAACATGTTGGCTGTTTCAGTAAGGACTGTTACAGGAATAAATACCTTATCAACTGAGTTTTTCTCCCCCTTGTATATCCTTCCAGGATCAAGTTGTCAAAGAAGATAATATTGAAGCTGTAGGGAAAAAATTACACGAATATAATACTCAATTTCAAGAAAAAAGTCGGGAATATGATAGACTATATGAGGAATACACCCGTACGTCCCAGGTGAGTTTAAGATAGTTTGAACTAACACGTGTTATAATCAGATTCGAAAGAACAATTGTGTCTAACCCATTTCAGTAGAGCCCATGCGTATAAGAATCCCACATTAGGCTTGCTTCTAACTGGCAGGGTTGTTGTGAGCTTTCAGCCGATGCAACGTAAGTCCTGACTCGAGACTTCTGTTTAGGCTGGACTTTGATAATAGCTGCTAATGGCGGTTTGTCCAAACTCTGGGGTGGAAATGTCATACCCATCCCCTCTGCTGTGAGAAGTGACTGTGTCCACTGTGTTGATTGTCAGAGGAGAAAATAGCATGGATGATATAAATAATATTAATTGAAAAGACTGACGAGGTTGTACCTACATATTTAGGAACGCACACGCAATAGTTAGTGACAAAGAGGCCATGAATTTGAAAGAGAGGAAGGAAGGGTGTGCGGGAGGGTCTAGAGAGGGGAAAGGAGTAAATGATATCATTATACTGTAATCTCAAAAAAAAAAATAAGTAAAAGAAGTAATTTTGAAAAGTGAAGGTAGATAGAAAATTCTCCACAAGAAACGTCTGTTTCCTATGTCCTTTAGCCAGAGTTTGTGAATTCCTGTTCAGCCCTGCCAACAGAGCGCGCGCCGGTTTTCCCTACCTCCTGGTCCTGTATTGAGGATATACAGTACAGATTTCTCCCCACCCCCCGCCCCCTTGCTACTGTTGTCTAAGCAACACAACACAGCTGTTTACATAGCATTGATGTTGTGTCAGGCTCAAGCAATTTAGAGATGATTTGGAGTTGATGAGAAAAATCGCACGGCCCCCGCATGGCCACGGCACCATTTCAATAAGGAACTTAAGCATCTGGCTGTTAGGGGCCAGGAGGGCCCCTGTACCTAAGCTGTTGGCGCCCTTGGAAGCCTGTACCGACCAGCACGTTTGCCTCGCATCACTAGCTAGCTTGTCTCTCACCGTGAGAAGTCGTGTTCTGAGAGGGATGACGTTGTCTTATGAAACTTGTGTTGCAGGAAATTCAAATGAAAAGAACAGCTATTGAAGCCTTTAACGAAACCATAAAAATATTTGAGGAACAATGCCAAACCCAGGAGCGGTACAGCAAAGAATACATAGAAAAGTTTAAACGTGAAGGCAACGAGAAAGAAATTCAAAGGTAGATGAGCCGCGAGCACCCCCAGTACCCATCCCCAGTACCCTTGTGACAGAAGTCACAAAACTTGTTTAAGACTGGTCAGACTGGTGCTCCCCATTCCTGGCATTTGAGCAATTTTAAAATGGAATACCCAAAGCTTCCTAAATTTGGGGGGACCTTGCGTGGTGTGCCCAGATACTTAGCAATACGTTCTTCTCCTGCCTGCAGGATTATGCATAATTATGACAAGCTGAAGTCGCGCATCAGTGAGATCATTGACAGTAGGAGGAGGCTGGAGGAAGACCTGAAGAAGCAGGCAGCTGAGTATCGTGAGATTGACAAGCGCATGAACAGCATTAAGCCAGACCTCATTCAGCTGAGAAAGACAAGAGACCAATACTTGATGTAAGTGTTTGAAACAGAGCCCGAAGGAACTGACAGGGGCTAAAAATCAAAGATGAGTCCTCAATGGTTTTTCTTTCTTGCAAAACTCTTTCAGGTGGCTAACACAGAAAGGTGTTCGGCAGAAGAAGCTGAACGAGTGGCTGGGCAGCGAGAACAATGAAGAGTAAGTAGCCGCCGAGGATGGGGGCAGCCGGCCTTAGCACGTCTGGCAAGCAAAACTGTGTCAGCTCAGTAGCATTAGCCAGTGATTTACAAAAGGACAGTTGAGCCCAGGCAGACGGGGCTGTTTTTTGTTTCATTTTGCTTGTCGTTTTCCCCGTAATTGTGTAAATCGACTCTGGTGTCCATAATGATGTCCCTGAGCTTCAGAAAAATCCCCAAATATTTTTGGAACAGTGAGAGAAAAACAGTTCTGTTTAGTTTATTTTGAAGGTGAAGTATATGTTTGGTTTGAATTCTTTGAGCACTGGCAGTCTTCTCAGGACGGTCTGCTCAGGTACCTAAGAGTGGTTGCCGATTTGAAGATGGAGATAGTGATAACTTCTGCTAGCGATTCACCCTGGGGGAGGGGTGGTGAGGAGGCGGAGTCCTCTGATCCACCTGCTTGAAAGGGGACCCTGGGGCAGGCCGGACTTCCCACTGCCCTCTCTCGCTCACCTTTGCTTCTGCCCGGGCAGCCAATACTCACTGGTAGAAGACGACGAGGACCTGCCCCACCACGATGAGAAGACTTGGAATGTCGGAAGCAGCAACCGCAACAAAGCCGAGAATCTATTACGAGGGAAGCGAGATGGCACTTTTCTAGTCCGGGAGAGCAGTAAGCAGGGCTGCTACGCCTGCTCTGTAGTGTAAGTAGCTCTGGAAAACTTACTCGTTATGTTTCCTTCGTTTACTCATTTGAAAGATCAGGATCTGAAAGCATGTTCACCTTGGAGGATCATATCCTATGGTTAGTCTGGCCAGACAAACCCATTAAGAACCTGACAGACACCTGTCACCATATAGTAGGACAGCTGGGACTTGGGTTCCAGTATTGGGGCAAGTTAATTCCTAGATATCTTGAGGTCTTTTTACCCCCTCATCTTAATTATAAACAGAAGTGGCCTTGCCTTCCCGCTGTCCCCACCCCTCTAAAAGCCAGTGTAGTTAGAATACAAGGTTAGATTTTGTGAGAACATCACCGAAAATAGATAAAGGAATTTTTCAAGAACTGACCAAAGCAAAAAGAGAGGTAGGACCCCACTGCAGTCATGCAGAGATACACCCGGAAGGAGGCATAGTTCTGTCTTGTAGCCTAGTTCGATTTATTTCATAATAGTTTAGGGAGTACTTTGAAAAGTAAAATTTGAAGGTTGAGCGAGATGTCTGTAATCCTAGCGTTCAGAGTGACCGAGATCAACATAGGCTGTGTATGGAGACCCTGAGTTAATCAAAAGAGTCACTAGCATTACTGGGACAAAGAAATAAATGTGCTCTGGTGTGGAAAGACACTATAAGTACCTTATATTCTATGGCCAATCACTGCTTCATGTAAGAGCTGTTTCTATAAGACAGAGAGAGGGAGAACTTTGGTTAGGACAAGAGAATGAGAGAACAGAATTCAGAATAAATGCCAAGATGGAGAGAGATGATGACATTTCCCGGAGAGCCTGAGACCTGGTGATCGTAGCTGGAGGAGAGCTAGAACGTGGCATCTTAGTGCTATCCATACCTAAGAAGTGGGGAACTGCCACTTGTCACATGCTTGCCAAATGTAACATGTCACATGCTTGTCATGTAACATGCAACCACACATCTATCAAGCACTCATCTCATATCTCACAGGCACCCCAATACGTGTGATGCCCCTCTCTCCTTTAAACCCTTTAACCATTGACCAGTCCAGTGAAGCAGGCCCAGATGATCAGCCCTTGTGTGTGTTGCTTGACCAGTAAAAGTGGCGCTAATAGATTACTGTGGCTTTGAGGCTTCGGCTCCCCAGGAGGGACACAGACCCCCTCACTGTGCCCTTCCCTGATGATGACTTTGTTATAAAAAAAAAAAATATCCGGCAGCATTCCAGATTGTCTGAGACCTGCTCAAAAGGCTCTTTTGCTTCCCTCTCCCCTCTCCAGGGTAGACGGCGAAGTCAAGCATTGCGTCATCAACAAGACTGCCACCGGCTACGGCTTTGCTGAGCCCTACAACCTGTACAGCTCCCTGAAGGAGCTGGTGCTACATTATCAACACACGTCCCTCGTGCAGCACAATGACTCCCTCAATGTCACACTAGCATACCCGGTATATGCACAACAGAGGCGATGAAGCGCGCTGCCCTCGGATCCAGTTCCTCACCTTCAAGCCACCCAAGGCCTCTGGGAAGCAAAGGGCTTCTCTCTCCAGCCCGACCTGTGAACTGAGCTGCAGAAACGAAGCCGGCTGTCTGCACATGGGACTAGAGCTTTCTTGGACAAAAAGAAGTCGGGGAAGACCCAGCAGCCTAGGGCTGTTGGATGATTAGACATTTCTAACCGTATTCTTTTTCTTTTCTTTTTTTAATTTAAAGCCACAACACACAGAGAAAAAGAAATGCAAAAAAAATCTCTCCGTGCAGGGACAAAGAGGCCTTTAACCATGGTGCTTGTTAATGCTTTCTGAAGCTTTACCAGCTACAAGTTGGAACTTTGGAGACCAGAAGGTAGACAGGGCTGAAGAGCCTGCGCCTGAGACCACTTGGTCCAGCCTGGTTTAGCCTGGGTGTCGCTGGGTGTGGTGAACCCAGACACGTTGCACTGTGGGTTATTTCCTTTGTAATGAATGAACGATGTGGAGCAGAGAGGCGCATCTGCTCCCACGGGAGAGAACACCGATGCGGTATGTTCGGCGGAAAAACAGAAACACCAGAAAATGTCTTGCTTAAAACTTGTCAAACCAACAACAGAAAAATGAGTGCGGACAAGGGGACTTGAAAATGACATTCAGTATATAAAATATGTATATAATATTGGGTGACTAACTATCAAATAGATGGATTTGTACCAATACCAAATAGCTTCTGTTTTGTTTCGCCGGAGGCTAAGCGTGCAGCGCTATGCAATTCTTCATTTTTGCTATGTTGCTACCAGTTTCAAATACACCTTCAGAATAAGCTTCCTTCATCCCGATTTTTGTTGCTTGAAGATATTGTTTCTCGTTTTTGTTAATATTTGTTTTGTTATTCTTACTTTTTTTTTTTTAAAAAAAAAGAAATGTACAGGATGCCAGAAAGGAAAATGGCTTAAGAATTAAAACTATGAAATATTTTACAGTTTCTCTTGTACAGAGTACTTGGCTGTTAGCCCAAGGTTAAAAAGTTCATAACAGATTTTTTTTTTTGACTAAATGTTGGGCAGGGCCTGATAAGCTTCAAAGCTGCTTTATTCAATAAAAAAAGAAAAAGAAAATGATATATGATATGACAAAGTATTGCTGAGTCCAACAGTGTTGTTTTAAGACTCTTGAAATACGGTACCTGGCAATGTTTCTTTCCTAGTGAATTGTGAACTTCTCGAATCTGAAGGGGAAGGTAGCCGTGGGTTGTAACGGGGGTGGGGGTGGGGGTAAGGTGGTGCGCACTTTCTCGGGATTCCAGAGAAGGGGAGAACCATTGAAGAAGGGAGGCCGCTTGTCTCCGTCTTTCCCCATCTGAATGTGGTAGGCGTTACCCATCACCAGCAACCCCAGACCTACTGTAGCTCCATGCAGTGCAGTTGGCCAGCATCTCCGTTCTCATGAAGGAAGTGCTGAGTTTGTTTTGGGGTTCCTGGAACGTGCTCGCTTTGTTGTTGTTGTTGTTGTTGTTGTTGAACACACTGGTTTTCAAGGTTGAATCCCTGCATTTAGAAAAATGTGTTCTTTCTCTTTTTAATATTGGACTAGTCACAGCAGCCAGCCACCCTTCCTTTCAGCAAAAGCATGGTCTGGAAAGCAATCCTTTTCGTGGGACGTTTGTTATTTTCCTGGCTCTCCGTTCACTCTAGAACGGAAAGCAAGTGGACCCGAGTAGCTGGTCGCTGTGCTTTGTGAGAATTGTTAAAAGAGATACAAATGGCAGTTTCTTCTCACTCACATCTTTGTGCATGCTGTACTTCACGGTGAGGAAAGGGAGCAGGTGGTGGCATCTTTAGGACAAGACTTCGAGTTTCCCTACCCTGATGTACGTGTGCGAAGCCGGCGTGTTTGTCGGGAATTGTCACGTGCTGTGAAGAGAGGAGGCTAACCAAAGTCACGGTCACAGCCCTGGTAGACTCAAGGGACATCTCTTCGGTTTCACGTTCCCTTTCTATATCAGATGCACCCACGACTTTCTCTTCCCTTTCTAGACTGAGGTGAAGAGTTTTTGTGTCCTTTGGAATTTGCAGCCTAGTGGCTGGGTTAATGGTCTATAGAATGTAATGTTTTTCTTGCTCTGAAGTCACTGCCCACCCTCTCAAGCAGAAGTCAGGCAGCCAGACTGTGAGCCTGCAAACTTGACTCTAAGCTGACTGCGTCCTTATTGCCAGACAATTGATGATTTCCCTGGGTTTACTCTGGGCTTTGCAACCTCCAGTGGCTGCATTCTGCCATGCCACATACGACTGAACAGTCATTTATTTGTAAGCTAGTTTTGCAGGTGGACTTTGCTTTCTTTTCTTTTCTTTTCTTTTCTTTTCTTTTCTTTTCTTTTCTTTTCTTTTCTTTCCTTTCCTTTCCTTTCCTTTCCTTTCCTTTCCTTTCCTTTCCTTTTCTTTCTTTCAATAGCACATCATGTATACTATCAAATACAAATAACCTTCATTTTAATTTTAAAATGGATCTGAGATTGGCCATTTCATTACAAATTCTGTTACCGTTTTTGTACTTCAATGCTCTTTGCATGATGACTTTCAAAACCATCTCATCTCATAAACTTGGGTACAATAGATTTTCCATTCGTCAGAAGGCAGATGTCATTTGTCCCCTACAAGAGGGAGCTCTGCCACACCTGTCCTGCTGAAGGCCTTTTTGATGACAGGTTAGTATGCCCACCAACTCTGTCCTTAGAGAAGTTTGATCATTACGTTTCCGTGATTCCATCAGGGCAGGCATCCAGAAGCGTTCATTGAGCGGCTCATGGGTGTAGATGGATACAGCACTCCTGATCTGTAAGTGTCCCGACATAGTTTTTCTCACCAACTGTCACGTCCTAAAGACAGCCAGACACTAAGCTGCCAACAGGCTGAGCTAGACTGTCGAAGTGGGAGGGCTGGGACCTCATGTCCCACACCAGAGTGGTCATAACCACATGAAAAGGCAGCAAGCGTATGTTTGCAACATTTGGCAACTTCACGGCCCTGGATATATGTATATATGTATATGTGCATGGACTGTGTTTCCAGTACACCTTCAGCCACGCAGATCCACAGTCGAGTTCAAGTCCATACCAAGCAGATGTCTAGTGCAGTGCTTGTAGATGTGTATGGGTCTTTTTTCCCTTTGGTGTTGCTTTGTGTTGTCTTATAAAGGTGAAAATTGTTGGCAAATGAAGTGAGAAGTTCATCATTTGACTTTTTTTTCTCTCTCGCTGGTTTTAGAAGCTATGCCCTTTCAGGGAGCGGGTCTGGATGGCTTGCTTTCCTGCCGCACCCTCGTTTTCAGTGTTGCCAAGTCAGTGTGTGTGTCTGTGCGCTGTCCTTGTGAGAAACCAATCGCTTTGTCATAGATCTGGTCTTGAACTAGTAACTTGTTTGGGAAGTCCTGCTGATGTTCCTTATTGGGAGACAGTTCCTGCTGGTTTTCCCAACTGTGCTTTTTGCAATGCATGATACCTAAGTCAGTTGGAAAGCGGGCTTTGCTGTCTGTTTGAATTTAGGGTCATTTAAGAAAGGGGCAGTTAAAAAAGCACAATGCCTCACATGGGACAAAGTTCCAAAATGCCAAATTCTCCTATTTTTTAAGAAAATCTAAATCTATAGTTCTATAAAATAACTGGGGGTAGGGAGGAAGTGGCTCCACTGGTCAGACTCTCCAGCTTCACACTGAACTTGTCACCATGAGATAGCATTGGCTGCCCAGGATGCTGCTATTTAAAGAAAACAAAACAAAACAACAAAAAAAATACCCCTCATTTATATGTGTGTATTTTTTAAAGCTACACTCTGTTCAATGTTTTTACAGATCTGTTTATATGACATTGATAAAATAAAGTTGGTCTTTTGACGAGAGGGAGGATGTGATTTTGACGAGAGGGAGTTGTAATTTTGCCTTTACAAGGCAACCAGGTGGGGGGGGGGAGGGAGTGTGCCTCCTTGACATTCTGTTCAAGCTATAGATTCAGTGAAGCTATGTATCGTTTTAAGTTGCTTAATGCATTGTATTAGGTCCTCAAACAGAATAAAGGTTGTTTTGAAACTTAAGTTTCCATCTGGAATTCTAGTTTTCACCAGAGACGTTTCTAAACCTCCACCAACCCATTTGTTCCTCTTTCCTAACTCAGCTTTATAAACAGAAGGTACAAATTGGTCGCTTGGGTGTGCTCAATATTATTGACGTAGCATCTTAATGCTTTTATGGTAAAATTACATATGTCTAGGTGGTAGCATTTCAAGGCTTGTTCTTTAAAAAAAGCCTCATTTTGCTCCATCCTTCCTGTCCTCCACCCAACCTTAACCATTAGCTCCTAGTCCCTATGGCTTTGGATGGCTTCCGGTGTTGTCTTTTGTACACTGGGTACTTTAAACTGGTACAAGAACAGAATGCCGTGGTGAGACCTGAGGTTATAAATGGGGCCAATACTCCCCTAATACCAGTTAGCATCACAAGGCCTGGTCAAGAAGCAGCTCCCCCACTGACATTTCCTGCTTGCTGGAGCTATGGCCGCACCACTGTGTGTGTACATACGTAGGTCCCACATTTTATGTGTTGAGTGTGAGGCTGCTGGATCAGAAGACTTGAGCTAAGGGGAAGTGTGAGAGTAAGCCACTACCATGCCAACAATGACTGCCGTGTGTTAAGCCTGGCGGTGGCTCTGAGGTTAATGTCCTGTCTATTTCTAGCTCTGGTGCATCATAGAGCTCATTTCCTGGATCTTATACCCTCTGGTTTCCGTGAGCGAGTCTTTCCATGGCTGCACTTTCTGCCATATTGATTTTCTCCTACAGGTGCGAATGATAGCCTGCGTATTCGCTCTTCGATAAGGCTCTGGTCAAGTTTTCCAAGTATCTGCAGTCTTGTGCTGTTTTTCACCCTGCTTTCCCATTACAGCCTCATTTTGGTTTCTGAACCCTTTTGTCTGCTGAGTGAGTCTACTTACTTAATTCTGCCTGTAAGGAGCACTGACATGTGTTACCTAGTGACAGGGATACATTCTGGAAAATGGAATGCCTGTATAATTTTGCCACTGTGTGAACGGCATTGAGCGTGTTTGCATGCACCTAACTAGCATAGCTTGTTGTACTACACCTAGGATGTATGGCATGAACCTATGGGCCTCTAGGGCCCAAACAGGCTACAAGAACGTGAGAGAAGATGGAGCACAAGAGCAAATGGTACAACGTGAACTTGAGCTGTCTGGGGCTACTGCCGGTGTAACATAGCAAGCTTTCGCAGAAAACACTTTATCCTTAGGAGTGTGCTCTAAAATACGTCAACTACGTAAGCCAATCCCCCAACATTTATATACGAGTTAGAAGATATTACCCCTATTCTACAGATTGGAAAAGCCTAGGTATGACATGACTTACTCAAGATCCTGTAGCACGTTAGAACGTAGAGTGTCAAGGTCGTCTCACTCAAAGCTAAAGCACCCTCCCCACTCAGGATAGAATCTAAAGACTTCCCACGAAAAGACATGCATGGAACAATTCAAAGAAGGGTCACCAGGAGCTCTTCCTGCTAGGGAGTGAACAATGTGGCGAGTGGTAGCAAGGACGTGCTGGATAATGATGAATGGCTTGGAATAGCATGATGTTGCTAAGAACACAGCAGCATCAGTAGAGAGAACGTGGTGGTGGCCAATGATGAATGGTGATGTTGCTCCGAGCACATCAGCATCGGTAGAGAGAACGTGGTGGCCAACAATAAATGGCCTGGAATAGCATGATGCTGCTCAGAGCACATCAGCATCAGCTAGTACTTGGTTGGAATTCCAGCTCCCAGACCTCATCCCTCACTTGGTGACTCCAGAGCAGAGCTGTCACTCTACTCCAGCAAATTCTGCAGACTCTCTCCATGGAAACAAAGGGTTGAAAATGGCTACTTTATGTCACCTCTTCAGAGCACTTCTGGTAATTCGCACAAAACATATAGACATTAATGAGTACTAGAAGTGTTGCTTCATGATACAGTGGGTGCTTGTGGTACAGACTGCACAGGGAAAGGAAAATGGTCTAATTTGCAGTGGGAGAGGCCCAGCTGGTTTTACTGTTGCCTCTAACCAGCTATGGGAACCTAGCCAACTCATGTACCTATCCAGGCCTCCAGCTCCTTCCCTGTGAAAACCAAGTCTGAATCTAGGACTCTTTTTAGGATATAGAGAGGGAATTTGGTGAACTGAGAGAAGCATCTCCTTCCCCCAACACTCCAGTGACAATCTGACTACAGTTAGAGCCCACAAGCGTGGCCAGTGACTACAGGCCTGTGGTCAGTCTGAATGTAATGTCTGTCAGTCCTTGGCAGTGTTGGCAAGATAGCCGAGGGACACCGTTGCAGACCTGGAGCCTGAGAGTCCTGCTGACATCTTAAAAGCTGTCCTTTCAGTAAACCCAAACTGACAACTGAGTTCTTTCTACACAGTGTGTACGGAAGAGTATTTCAAAATGACTTTTGACCACCTCCTGATGACAAGAGGCCTAGCAAACCCTCTAGGCCAGGGGTTCTCCACCTTCCTAATGCTGTGGCCCTTTAAGTCAGTTCCTCATGCTGTGGTGATCCCCAAGCATAAAGTGATTTTCATTGCTACTTCATATCTGTAATTTTGCTACTGTTGTGAATCCTAATGTAAACATTTGTGGTTTCTGATAATATTAGGAGACCGCTGGGCAAGGGTTGCTTGACTCCCAAAGGGTCGCGACCCACAGGTTGAGCCCCACTGCCCTAGGTTCTCAGTGGTGAACGAGTCTTTTAAGACATGATTGCTGAGCCCATTTTTTTTTTCAAACAAGCAAACAAAAAAAGATTTTTCTTAACCAGTTTCTGAAACCATCGCTAGAAATAAGAATCGTGTGATGCATTTTGCATAAATAGATATAATAGATTGTTTCCTATCCAAAGTTCAGGTGATCTTCTCCAAAGGTCCCACTCTGTATCCTTTAGCTGGGTTTCGCTGTCATAAATCAGCTCAACAGAAAACCGCTGAGTTGCTTTCAAAAGGGGGACAAGAGGATAAATGAGTAGCCACCAACACACGCTCGCTTATCTGCATTTGGCTCTCCAGAAGGGAGAGATTCTCTTCTCTCTCCAGCACTCAATCACGATGGTCTGAGGGTGGCCGTAGGCTCAACTTGCTGTTAAATAAAACATTCCAAGCTATACCTGCCTTGACACATGTCCAGATCTGGCCCATAGCATAAAGACAGGACACTGAACCTCCAGGACCGCCACTCACCACGTTAAGGACAGAGTGCCACAAGAGCTCCATCCATCACCAGGACGGCTCATTAAAATTGTCGCGGTGACTGGAAAATACACCGTCCGTTGTCTGACTAGCCCACTGGAACCAATTTATTTATAGAGCTTTCATCTCAGAGCACACTGATTTACTGTCCGGGCTTTCGCCAACCAAAAAATATGGAGAACTTTATCACAATAGAGAAGAGGTACTGGTCATTTTATCTCGTGTTTGCTGTCATCTATAGAGAGGCGCTGTTCCGCATGCCTTGCACTGAGTTGCTAAGGGTTGTGGATTTTTCCTCCCCTCTGGGATCAAGACTTTAAGAGTTTGACAGTGTTTGTTATCCATTCAACAGAGCTTCACTGAGAGGGCTCCATCCAACGATGACGAAGGAAAATGGCTGCCTTCAAAGAGGTCCGTTGTCTACTGGAGGCAAACTACAATGCCTGTCCTCTGTTGTTGGAGATTGATAATAGCAACGAACAATTTGCTTCCAGGTGACCAAGGGAGAGTGAAGCTTCACAGAACAGGGCACACTTCAAATGTCACCTAGTGGAGGACTGAGCCCAGACTTCTCATGGCGGTTTCTCCCAGCCTGTACTATTGAGACACAGTGTTCTACTTCTCCCATTGCCCTTCAGGTAATGCTAAGGGTTTCAAGTCCCAAAGGCTCCCTTCTCCACTATGAGTGTCTTGACGTATGAGCAATACCCTAGCTGGTGGAACTCTATTAGAAGGCTGTGGAACCCTTAGAAGGTTGAGCCTTATTGGAGGAAGTTGGGTCCCTGAGGAATGGGCCTTGAGAGTTTTATAGCCAGGTCCCATTTCCGGCCCACTCTCTGCCTCATGCTTACAGATGTAATGTGACCAGCTGCCTCATGATCCTGCTGCCGTGACTTCATGCCATGACCCACTGCATCCCATCGAAACACTAAAACCCTTCTCCTTCAGCCATCCCTTGTCAATTATTTGGTCACAGAAACAAGAAACCCAGCTAAGACAGTGAACTCACTCCTAGAAACAAATGTCTGCATCTGTGGCTCCCATGTTGCAGAGAGTTAAGATGGCTGACATCGCATAGTTCAACTCCAGGCTGGCTACTGTCCTCTCTGCCCAGGGACAGTGGCCAGGCCTTGCCTGGCTCTTTTTGCCTTGGCATAATAGAAACGAGCTGCACTCAATTGCACATGCTCCTTTTATTCCGGATGAGAACCCCTCACCCTTGCTGAGCGATAGACTCACCCAAGTACCATTTTCATAGAACACATCTGACTTCTTAGTATCTGGGCCAAGATGCCACACAGAATGCAAAGAGTTCATGACTGGCATCTCAATAATGTATGCCAATAAATATGCTCCCTGGTCACATGTGTCTGTAATAGAATTTATTTCCTGGGAATATTTCTCCCACTTTCCACTTACTGTTACCCTGAGCATAGGGATGAATATGTGGTGGATGATGAAAAATGTATTTGCTTGACTTTTAAACTATATACATTATATAAAATAGTTACGATTCCTTATACCTGTATCTAAAATATTATTTTGTTTTTATTGGATCTTGGTCCTGCACTCTTGGATTTCTCATAAGCAACACACTAAAAATCACTGATCTGTGCATGGGTGATTGTCTATTAATTATTCTGAAAAATATATTTAATTATTAAATACAAGTATACCAGAATTTTTTTTAAAAAAAGCATAACACACAATAGACACAAAGCAAATAAATAAAGGGATAGGGGAAAGTTATTGATAACAAAAAAATTATATTGGGAAATTTCCAATACCTGAAGGGAAAGGCAG